ATTCTTCTTTGCAGTCAACAACCGTCATCATTACACCGAAAGTGATTAATATTGCTGGCAGGGATATTAGCTTGAAGTTTAAACGTGATTATGAAGAAAAACGAGACAATAACGATCCTACACTACCATTTTCCAAAGTTAGCGTCCGCCTTGCATACTTGACAGGTAAGTTTTAAGTCTGCCATAACAATAATTATGTGTCTATCAGAAAACACAGCATCGCTTATGAAGAAGCAGTGTGCGCTCACCTTTTTTTATTGATATTACCGTCTATTGTAAATCAATCCCTAGATACCCTCAACTCATGAGAATTTGGAGGAGGGGGTCGCTCTGTTATATTAGTGTAATGTGCCTGTTGGTGACATTGCGTGCGTTGCTCGCTGCCGTGTCGGACGTAATTTAAGTTGCACTGCAAAATACTACAGTTTTATTCGAAGTTAGTGGTAACGCTGATTCCCCGCAGCTTGTTCGGGAAAAAGATGTGAACGTTACGGATACGATTGAGGACGAGCCGGACTCATCTTCGTCGAGTTCATCGTCTCCATCTCGGTCCGAAAGTGGAAGGCCCGCTTTCAAAAGAAGAAATTTAAAAGAAGACCCACGCTTGGAGGCTCTCATAAACCAGGTAGGATTTTTATCAAATATTTATATGCAGAATCTCGGCAGCTCGCAAAATAACCTACAAGATGTTAATGCCTATACTTGTGATAACTTTCTTACTATACCAAAAGAAAATCCCATGCTTGACCTAGGTTCAATAGCCATCAATGTTGATGGAAGTAAAATAATAAAACCAGCCCTTCCGGAGAGGGTTGAAAAGATAAAGACATTGCAATATTTTGGCCTACCCACATGGCAAAATGTAAGATATTCCAAGACTCTACAGTCTTTTGTAGCTACCCCAGGGTTTACTCAACTGAGGGTAAATGATGAATTATGCCACCTGAGCAAATCGAAAGATTATTTATCGGGTACTGAAAGTGTGATGCTGCATTGTCAACTGTTGTTTTTGAAAGCAATGAGTTACTCTGAGTAGGCTTACAGTCAGTAGTGGATTGGGCTGCGAAATCCCCAGAGGAATTAAATGCACCAGCACTTGCGCAAAAAATAAGCTCTGCTGTTGGAAAAGGGACAGCCTTTAATAAAAATTCTGAAGATATCTTACAGGTTTTATATGGTAAAAGAGCTGAATGCATTGAAACTAGAAGGGAAAGATTAATAAAGAAGTGCCTAACAAATGTATTCAGTTAGCCCTGAGAAATATTCCTCCATCCGAAAGTGTCTTATTCGACCAATCTAAATTAAATACCCTTATTCAAAATTTTGGTGGCCCTATACAGTGGATAAAGTCACTTACTTTTAAAGAAATTAAGAATAGTCAGGGTTTGGCATTTAAAAGGAATGGATCGGATTCTTCTCTTTACCCTCCACTAGTACGGCTCCTAAGAAAACAAAGTTAGAATTTCCCCAGAGAACTACTAGTTACCAAAATTATAATTCGTATTACCAAAACGGGCCTTCCAGTGGCAAGGGAAAAGGTAAAGGCATATGTAAAAAGTCGTCCTTTCGCTCCCTTGACAGAGATAAACAATGACTCAGAGCCGTAATTCAATTAAAGGAATTCAGAGACCAATGGGAGCAGCTCGGAGCTACTCCCTTTGTTCTAAAAGCAATATCAGGGTCTCGGATTCCTTTTATTCGGAGATCTGTACTGAGGTACCCCTCACCAACAGTAGCTCGGAGCTACGCAACAAAATCTTCATCCCAGATGACTGTACAGATAAACGAACTGAAACGTATTTGAGTTCTAGAAAAGCCTACTTCTTTGACTCCCGGTTTCTTCTCCCGCATGTTTCTTGTAAAAAAGAGCGATGGTGGCTTGAGACCAATTCTCGACCATCGGAACTTGAACAAGTTTGTAGGAACAAAATATTTTCATCTTATAATCCATACCAACGTACCGGAATTCCTTCAACCTGGAGGTAAAAGTCGATATTCCACAGGCATATTTCCACTTACCTATAGCAATGTCACACCGACCTTTCCTATGACTTTTTTACAATCAAGAAATGCTTCAAATGACTTCGCTCCCATTTGGCCTATCGTCGGCCCCCAGGCTCTTCTCTCCTGTAACTTGCTGGGTCGCGGAAACCCTACGCAAAAAAGGAATGCGGGTCCTAGTATACCTGGACGATTATCTTATAGTGCACCAGGACGCCTCCAAGTTAGCATCACAGACTACGGAGTTGGTGAAACTCTTGGAGTTCCAGGGCTGGCAAGTGAATCTCAAAAAATCAATACTGACCCCAATGAGATCCTCGAATTTTTAGGCATAAAATGGAATACAGACAAAAATGTAATAAGTCTTCCTGCCAAAAAAACAAACGTCAATCCTGACTGCAGTAACAAAAATATTAACAACAAAATCTTGCCACCTTCGGCAATTACAATGCCTCCTGGGCCAACTAAATTTTGCATGTTATGTAATACTTCTCGGTCGACTTCACTGTCGCCGTTTACAAATGTTAATAAGACGATTCCCGGGGAATCGTGTAAAAACAAAAAACCAGTTCCTCAGGGGGCAATACTGGATTTATAATGGTGGCAGGGATATCATTCATTTTCATTCATTCTTCATTGACAACGCCAATTCACACAAAAAGTGTATCGCACGTTTTGACTACAGACGCCTCCAACATCGGATGGGGCGCTGTTCTGGACAAACAGACCATGTCAGGTTCGTGGGCACTTTAAGAACGGCCTTGGCAATGCAACAAAAAAGAGATGTTTGCCGTACTGTCTGTAATGAGACAGAACACAAAGAAGCTCAGAGACTCTCATGTGCTCTTACAAACAGACAACAAAACTGTTATGGCATACATTCGTAAAGAAGAAGGAACGCATTCCATAGGACTCCTATCTCTAACCTTTCAACACTTTCAGCCCAATATCTACCTGGCGGATACAATGCCATAGCGGTCAGACTATCGCGGAGACGTCCTGTACTAGAATGGCATTTAAAACCTCAGGCCACATCAGAGGTGTTCAGGCGATGGGGCAAACCAGACATAGACCTCTTTGCATCAGAAAGATCCGCTATACTACCAAACTATGTAACAATAGATTCACGAGACTCTTCCGCAATGTTCATAGACGCCTTTTCAAGGGAGTGGAATTGTCAACTGGGATGGATATTCCCCCCACCAAACTTGATTCCGCGAGTGCTCTCACACCTCAACAAGTCAAGGGGTACCTTCCTGTCGGTAGCACCAGATTGGGAAAAACCGTTTTGGAGAGCGGATCTTTAGGCACGAGCACTCGACAAGGCAATGACTGTGACCTTGTTACAGGAAGTATTAGTGGACCTCACATCGCTTCCACCTCCGCAAGTAGACCAGCTAGCCCTGAAGGTTTGGAAAGTTGGAAGTGGGGAGATAAATTATTGTCGTGGTCCCAAGCGGAAAAAGATCTCCTCAAGTTAAGCTGGCGTCAATCTACCCTGAATACCTCTAAACCAGCACTAAAGCGATGGATAGCTTGGTGCAGAACTAAAGAAATCAATCCGAAGTGCCCCAAACCAGAAGAAGTGGCACAGTTCCTAGCTGACACTTTTTTAAAAGAAGATTTGGCATACAGTACGATTTTGGTACAAAAATCTGCTGTAGCAACATTCTGTGGAATGAAGGAGGACATATTCTCAAATTTTCTCGTAAAACACGTACTTAAAGATATTCGTAATTCCAAACCACCCAATTTTAAATCATCAGTGTGGGATGTAAAGCAAGTAATAGACTGGTTGAAGCAAAATACAAAAGACAACTCACTATTTGAAATTGTAAGAAGAACTGCAACTATCTTGCTTTTGACATCTGGTCGTAGACTACACGACTTGATGTTATTGAGGATTAAAGAACCGTATTTTACTGAAAATGGGCAAGAGATCTGCTTATGGCCAGTATTTGGAGCTAAGACTGATAACGGGTCTAGGCGGCAGTCTGGTTGGAAGCTTCTTCCTAATGAAGACAGTAACTTATGCCCAGTAAGATGGATAAGACTTCTAATTCAGGCAACTAAGGAAAGACGGACTGACAAAATAGATGGAAATTTGTTCATTTCTATCAGAGGTACTCCAAAACCTGCGTCCAGAACAGTGATAGGTGGATGGGTTCGCTCTGTATTAAAGGATGCTGGTATAGATGCTACTCCTGGTTCTTGCCGATCTGCAGTAGCATCCTTAGCCTGGCTTGAAAACGGACCAATTGAAGAAATTTTAGAAAGAGGCAATTGGACAGCGGCTCAGACACTAATGAATCATTATTGCAGAGAGATAAATGCACAGAAACGCGATAAGAAAAACTGTATTTTAGATTTAGACAATTTTAAGCCTATTTAAAACAAATATTACTTTCGTATGATTTCAGTTAATTGTGATTTATGATTAAAAATTGATAATTGATTCTTGAGTAAAATTAAATAGGCACAATTTATGTTAAACAATTTAAATTTATTTAGTTCATGAAAATTTATTTTATCTTACATTTTTACATATTATTGCAATACAAAAAATAAAACTATTAATAATTTTAAATTTGTCTTAATTACTTTTACTTATAGTTATTTAACATGTTCACTGTGCAAGGCGAAATACTAATTTGACCCTATAAGTGCAATTATGTTTTGCTTATAAATGAACTTATTATAATAGAAATAAATAAAAAACAAAGTAATAATTTTATTTTAATTTTTTTAATAACATTTGAGGAGTTTTCTCCATGCCCCATATATGGGTCACGCACGTCAGAACTATAAATTTGATGCCCCATATGTGTGTCACACACGTCAGAACTTAAATTTGTTGAAATGTATGCACAAATATTTTATCTGTGTGACAACTGACAAGTCATCTGTCAAAATCAGTTTGCCGCGACAATCTACCGAGTAAACAGATTATTGGAAAGTTTTATAGTTGTATCTGAGTTTTGTGCAATTTCGTTTTCTTCATGACTCTAGAACGTATTACTGATGAAGAATTGTGGAAAGTATTGCAAGAAAGTGATGATGAAGAAGACCTTGTGGAGGAATTGGAGGAGTCTGGATTGTATGGTGAGTCGAGCGTAGTAGCATTAAATGATGATGAAACCATAGAGAACATCCCGGAATATATACATACATATAAATAATTCTGAGCAAATTGGATCATTATCTATTCCAAACTTAGTTACTTATCAAGAACCGTGCATATCATCGCCTGATCGAACTTTGCCGCCATTATTTGGTAATAATGAATCTGTGTTGCCATCCTTTTTGGAAGAAGAAATATCACAAAATGTTAGTATTCAGCCTAGACGAGTATCTTTTAACAATATTACTGCCTGGAGAAATGAAATAAGAGCACTTTCAAGCGAAGTTTTTACTGGACATGATCAGATAAAACGACAAAATCAATTAATCATGGAAAATACTGATCTGTGGAGCATATTTAGATCTATCATTGATGATGAAACACTAGATTTAATGGTTTCCCAGACACACAAAAAAAAAAATATATAGATATATTGATAAATAATATATATATAGAGAATAATATATATATATATATATATATATATATATATGCTAGTCAGTTAATGTCTTCATCTACATTAAAATCCAATGCTCTCATTAAGCGATGGAAGGATTCTACTCCCACTGAAATGCTGAAATTTCTCGGTGTCTTTGTTTACCGGACTGGTCGTATTCCCAACCATCGAGTGCTACTGGAAAAAAGACAAATTGTACAATCATACTCTTCTTCATGAGATAAAAATGTTATAACATTTTGATAGATTTTGCAATATCTTTAGATGCTTGCACTTTTCCGATAACATGGCTGAGCATAATGGAAGACTGTACAAAATACAGCCACTTATTGATAAGATCATAGAAAATTCACGAAAAATATTCACCCCAGATAACATAATTGCTGTAGATGAATCCATGGTTCCATTCAGAGGCAGATGATGATATTTCGTATCTACAATCCACAAAAAAGTAATAAATATGGGATAAAAATATATAAATTGTGCAACGAATCCGGATTTACTTGAAGTTACAAAATATATTCCGGAGAAGACAGAGTTACACAAGGACTTGACAAACCAGGCTCGATAGTCGTTACTTTGGCTCAAGCTTTATTGAATGAAGGCCGACTATTAGTTACTGATAATTACTATTCAAGCCAAGCGGATTTTTGCGGAACAGTCCGCAAAAATAGGAAAGATCTTCCGCAGGAAGTGGTCAGCGCTCCACCAGTCAGTGTCAGTGTCAGTGGTCAACCCTCGAAAAAGGAGAAATCCCTGCTAAGTAGAACAGTTTCGCAACGGTGTTGAAGTGGAAGGACCAGAGAGATGTGTTGGTTATGTCAACATGCCACGATCATCAAATGGGGATATCTACCAGTCACAAACCAACACTAAAACCAAAAATTGTGCTTGAATATAACCGTGGCAAGAAGGGTATTGATTTAGCAGACCAGCTTTCGAGCTACAATTTTCCGGTCCGCAAGACATGCTTCTGGTATAAAAAAATAGCCGGCAATCTGATATCAATATCTGTTATAAATGCAATTTTGGTATATAAAGATTTAAAGAACGTAAAAAATGACTTTATTACGTGGCCATGAAATAATCATAAAGTTTTTACTGAATATCAAAGATGCTGCGCCTTCTAGAAGGCTTGAAATCGGATGTGCTGCTTCTGAGAATTTTGAGTTCCGTCATTCTTTAACAAAAATCCCGCGTCCTGTATCGAAAAAAATAATTCGAAAGCGTTATACAGGCTGTTACAGAAGTTTAGTAGAAGAAGGCAATACTGCTGCTCAAAGCCGAAAAATAACAAAAAAAAAACGGATTTGGAATGCAAAAAATGTAAAAAAGCTTTTTTTCTGACTTTTTATAATAAATGCCATTAATATTTATTGCTGATAAATCTATCGATAATATCTAATCGAATTATTTTTACTAAATTACAGGGCCGTTTTATAAATAAAATAAATAAACATTGCCAGTAGGCGGTAGTAGACTTATAAGCTCAAATAAGTTAGGATCAGTAAAATAAATATTATCTAATACTTTGTTGTTACTGTTAGTTGTATTGTTGTAATAATTATTAAAAAAAATATAAATTTTATGGAAATAATTTCTATTTTATATTAAAAATATTTCTTAATTACTAATTTGAACTGGCTAATATCTAATATTTAATATTTTAATATTTGCTAATACTTGGGAAACCACGAGATGTACTCTAATATGAACAGTTGTTGGGCGCTGGCAGAATAACAGCATTGTGGGCAACTGCAACATTTATGCTGAGCTAGAGCCTATTCATTACTACAAAATGTAATTATGGTTATTTCTGTGTGTACTGCTTATTGTAATTTTATTGGTAGTAATGAATAAATGTTTTCTTATTATTATTATAAATAAAAGAGTTTTTGTTAAATAATAAATAAATAATTGTCAAGTCACTTTTTGTTTTTAATTTTGAATAACATATTCTAGCAACACCAATATAAAATGTCACTGGGATTATGGTAAATAAAGTTACGCGCTAAAATCGGCGCACTAGCGCCATCTAGTCTCGAACCGAAGAACTAAACTTCTTGAAGTTTAAAACTCGAACTCTCGGTACCTTGCGCGTGTTTACTTGAACATTCTGGATATTTTGCTAATTTATATAAGTAGGCGCTGCAAGATGCGATCGGGCAGAGTTGAACTCGGCGACACAAGCGAAGCTTCGGAGCGGAATTAAGTGAATTAGTGTGTTTAATTATTAGTGTTTTTAGTTTTTATTTGTGTAAAGTAAATTAAAGTGTTAATTTAGGTGATTTTATCGGCAATTTTTATTGTCACGAACCGCAAGCTCGTAACAATTGGTGTCAGAAGTGGGATAAAATCATGCCGATTTTACCTAAGGAGGAAACGGAGGGTGTTCGTACCCGCAGTCAACGCCAGCATGAGACGGACCAGAGAAGATTTGGTGGTGCAACGCCGCAGACGTCGGAGGGCCAGCCGCCGGCAACGGAGGCCGGTTCGTCAGTAGCTCCTGCATCTGCAGCACCTGATTTAGGCGCCCTGATGGTGATGCTGCAGGAGCAGGCTCGCCGACAGGAGGAGCAGGCTCGCCGACAGGAGGAACAGGTCCGTCAGTGGAAAGAGCAGCTGCAGAGCGGACAAGAGGAACAGGCCCGCCGACAGGAGGAACAGATGCTCCTCATGAAGGACCTTCACGCTACCTTCGGGAAGGAGATAAAGGAGGTGAAGGATAGGGTTGCTCAGCATGACAAACGCCTGTCGGAAGCTGAAACCCAAATCGAGAAAGCTGAAACCCGAATCGACCAAGTAAACAATCGGGTTGACAACGTAATGGCTGACATGAAGAAATCACTGGACGAACTCAAACTTGGAGATGGAGCTACAGCTCCCGTAGTAGCTACAACACCTTCGCTACGTGGGTTCAAGGTGCCACCGTTCGACGGTACCTCTTCCTGGTCAGCCTACAAAATCCAGTTCGAGGCTGTTATGAAGGCGAACGGCTGGAATAAAAGCCAGGCCATGACTGCACTCACCTTAGGCCTGCGCGACCAAGCCTTAACCGTGTTGGAAGCTCTCGGTAAGAAAGTGACCTACGAGCAGCTCCTTGAGGCATTGGAGGTGAGATATGGCAACGCTCACCTGGAACACGTCTTTCGTGCGCAGCTTAAAGATCGCGTGCAGCGCATCAACGAAAACCTGCAGCAGTGGGCTCTAGAGGTGGAGAAGCTGGTGCGAAAAGCATACCGGTCTGTACCTGCGCTCATTGAAGGGAACCTGGTGCAGACATTCATCGACGGCATCCGCGACCTTGAAGTCAGAGCTGCTGTGAGGCTCGGGCACCACGAGACGCTTAAGAACGCCTTGGCTCATGCACTGGAGGTGGAAGCCGCGCGGCAGGATCATCGTTCCCATCGCGTCAGGGAGGTTGCAGCAACTACAGTCCGTGACCGCAGCAAAGGATACAGCCCTAGGTGCTATGGCTGTGGGGAAAAGGGCCATCTTCGATCCAGATGCCCTAAACTAACCGTGGAAAGGAGAGTTGATCGATCTTGAGAGGGTAGTACAGCTAACGGCACTGCCTGGCGGCGACAGGATCATCGTTCACCTCACGCTAGGGAGGGTACAGCAGTTACGGTTCGCGACCACAATAAAAGATACAGCCCTAGGTGCTATGGCTGTGGGGAAAGGGGCCATCTTCGGTCCAGCTGCCCTAAGCACACCCTAGGAAGGGAAGGTGAACGGTCTCAGAAAGGAAGTGCGGCTAACAACACCGCCCAGCAGCAGCAGGAATACGACTTTACTATCAGACACTGCAGCGGGAAATCTCACGGCACCGCAGATGCATTGACAAGACCTTGTCCTGAAGATTGCAACCATTGTAGTAGGCAAGGTAAGGAAGTGGTATCCGTGAGGATGCTCAGAACAGACCACCTCAGCAACGGGTGGAAGGACAGCCTACGACATGCATAGCAGGAAGATCCGGACATCAAGCCGATTCTGGGATGGATGAAGGCCCGTGCTACCAAGCCTAAGTGGAAGGACGTCTCAGCGATGAGTTCAACCACGAAAAGCTATTGGGCCCAATGGGACAGCTTGCTGCTTCAGGATGGAGTCCTGTGCCGTAAATGGGACAATGGTCGAGGAGACAGCTGTCGTCTGCAAATGGTCGTCCCTAAAGCTAAAGTGCCGAATGTTCTACAACTGTGCCATAATGGTCGTTCAAGAGTCCATCTGGGAGTTAAACGAACTCTACTGAAGGTCAGAGAACAGTTTTACTGGGTCCATTATCGTGACGATGTCGAGGATTGGTGTCGTACATGTACAAGTTGTGCGGCTGTGAGGGGACCTCAGACATGGAGTAGAGGAGCATCGAAATTGTACAATGTTGGTGCACCACGGGATAGGACATCCCTTGACATTGCGGAGCCATTACAGAAAGGCGCAAGAGGGACTCCTAAGATCGTCCATGTGGATCGCCTAGCGCGTTATTATGGGACCGATAATGCTCGGGACGAGCATGTCTTAGGA